GGGCCCTGCGTCACGCCCGTGTTCCCTCCGATGCCGAGCACCTGCCCGCAGGGATGGGTTCGGGTACTGTGGGGGTAGGGGTGGGTTCGGGGACCGTGGGGGTAGGGGACCGATGCCGAGCACCTGCCCGCAGGGATGGGTTCGGGTACTGTGGGGGTAGGGGTGGGTTCGGGGACCGTGGGGGTAGGGGACCGATGCCGAGCACCTGCCCGCAGGCCGACGTGAAGTGCTGCGCGTACTCGTAGATGTGGAAGCCGCACAAGTCGGCGCCTGCAGTTCATCCTTGACGCCTCACAGTCGCAGGGGCTCGTAGGCCTGTGTGCGGCGCCGCACAGGCCGGCGCCGAGCACGCCGCGCAGGATCTCCTCGCGGTGTGGCAGAGTCAGGTACATGTCGGCAATCACAAACGGCGTGTGCAGGAACCAGCCGATGGAGAGGCTTGGCGAGGCGTCGCGGAGGTACTGTGGCAGCAGCATCAGGTGGTAGTCTTGCACCCACACCGTGTCCAGCTCGGTCGGGGAGATTGACATGACGGCGTCGCAAAAGGCGGCGTTGGCCGCCTGGTAGCAGGGGAGGGGGAGGGGGGCTTCGGGTACCGTGGGGTAGGGGAGGGTGGGTTCGGGTACCGTGGGGTACGGGAGGGTGGGTTCGGGTACCGTGGGGTAGGGAAGGGTGGGTTCGGGTACCGTGGGGGTAGGGGAGGGTTGGTTCGGGTACCGTGTGGTATGGGAGGGTGGGTTCTGGTACCGTGGGGTAGGGCAGGGTGGATGCCGCCTGGTAGCACGACCACTGGCGCTCCGCCGCGTCGCCGTGCGAATAGAGCATCGAGAGGGGGATGTTGTGGAGCAGCGCCCAGAGCACATTGGTTGATAAGCTGTTGTAGTAGGCGTCCGCCACCTCCTCGTGGAGGTAGACAGGTCAGCCGCGCAGCGGATAGTGTGATGCGAGAAGAGTCGTGAACAGCTGCTTACTCATCAGGAGGAACCAGACCATTGGTATTACATCCATGGATCGCGACTCAGAGAGAGTCCCCTGAGAGATCTAACTAGATGCCCATGGGGGGTGCGCGTGTCGTGGGCGTGTCGTGGGCGTGTCGTGGGCGTGTCGTGGGCGTGTCGTGGCGGTCTCCGTTTCTTTGACGTGTCGGCGGTGGCAGCATCGGTGGCAGCAGCGGTAGCGGTGGCAGCAGCAGTCGCCATCAGTGAGCTATGGCCGCAGTGCTGTCAGGCAGTGCAGCTGTGCGCTGGCAGCTGTGCGCTGGCAGCTGTGTGTTGGCAGCAGCTGTGCGTTGGCGCACCTCGACCCCAACCCACCCAACCCACGTGATCGAAAAGTCCCGCACGCCTACCACGGACGGCCCCGAGAGCTCAGCGCACGCCCTCCGCCCGCCCACTCTACCACTACCAGAGCGAGGAGCAGGTTCGCCCAGGAAGGCCGAGACGAGGCCTCCCGAGGAGCGCTTGAGCTCCCACTCGCCGTTGGCGTTCTTGACGGGCGTCACCGGCAGCCGGTTTGCGACGACAATGAGCCGCCCTCCCGCCTCGCCCCCCGACTCGAGCTTGATCCGAGTCCGTTCCGCCTCCAGCTGCCGCGATAGCTCCTGGATCTGTGGCGCGGCGGGCGGCGCGGGAGCGGGCGTCGGCCGGTGGGCCGCCGAGCGAGTGCACTCGCGCCGCGGCACGCTCGCCGCGGCCGCGCGGTGGGGCTGGGCGCGGCAGCGCAGTGGCGCACCTGCGACATGAGGTGGAACTCGTTGTCCTTCTCGCGCTTCTTTGCGACCATCTCGAGCTGGCGTGAGAAGGACGAGCCGAAGGAGCCGCCGCGCGGCGAGCCCTCGACCGCCAGCTTGTCATGCGGTTGGGGGCTGGAGGACATCCGTCGCTGGCAGAACTCTCGTGCGCCTATGCGCCCGCCTAGCTAGGTGTAAGAAAAAGGTGTAAGAAATTTGGGAAACCGAGTAGGGCGCCGGCACCCCAGCGTAGACCTCCTTTTGGTATATATAAAATTTGCGGGCCGCTTTTCTCGTCCTTGATATATCCTAGCTATAAAAGAATTTGCTGCCGGTCGTATGTATGAAATTTGAGAACAACGCGTTTAGTGTGTGAGTGAGTATTCTTGATACGAAACCACGACGACACACACCAGTCGACTCGCATCGGTTGCCTCCATGAACGGCGGAGCTATTCTCGCGCCCACACCACACCTGGCTCCAAACGTGGACACGCCCATAGCTGGGGACACTACTAGGTCACGCATGGCATCACAGAAGTTTTGTCTCTGGGCCCCGAAAGGCATCTCTAGCAGCGTCGTTACGCAAGCATGCGCCCTCCCCTCCTGGGCGCATGCGCCTCACGTCTCGCCAGAGCATAAGCCCTTGGCGTGTGGCGAGACGAGTTTTTCGCCATGCAGCGAGCAGCAAGCCGCCCGCCGCAAACAGCCGGAGGCATCGCCACGGCACTGGCTGCGCCGCGCTCCCGCACCCGTCGACGAAGCTCCCCCCGCGGAAGACCGCGCGTAGCGACGCCTTGTCGATCGAGATGGGCGCGCCTGAAGCTCGCCCACCTACTGCCCCTGAGAGTTGGTTACGAGTGGGATCAGCTCCCCCCCTTGGGATCGAAGCCGCCACAACCTCACACCCAACACCACAGGCGGGATCAGAAGGGGACTCCACACCGGACACCGCCCGGGCACAGCCCCCCTACCCGTCGGATCGCACAGGGCCCCCTAGGAGCAGCCCACACAATCACGCATCGGCAGATTGAGTGCCTGAGTCAGGCAGACAGCACAGACAAGAGGAGAGAGAGGAGAGAGAGAGAGAGAGAGAGAGGAGAGAGGAGAGGGTGAGGGTGTGAACACACGTGAGGAGTGGGGGAGGGTGTCTGTGGTGGGCTGTAGTCCTACTACGTGGTTACAACCACGCGCCCCTCAGGAGCTTAAGGTAGAGTGTTTGGGTGTCAAAACACCGGGTCGGCGCCAGGCTTAGACGGCCTGTCGCAAGACGGGTTGACTGCGAGGCAGTCCGAGCACGAACTAGTCGTCGATCCGCTGACAATCCCCGCCGCTTCACCGTCGGAGCGGCGGCGGGTGAGAGTTAGTCAAAGGTCCACCAGCACAGCCTCCAGCCACCAGCCTCCACCTCCACCGTCGAGCCGTGATCGCTGCCGCCCGCGACGCCGCCCGCCGCGTCAGATGCCCGCGACGCCCGCCGCGAGTCGAGTCGGAGAGCCGAGCCGCACCAGCAGCAGCATCTGCACCACCAGCAGCAGCAGCAGCACCACCACCACCACCCGAGAGAGAAGCGCACCTGCCCGACGCCGCCCGCCGCGTCAGACGCTCGCGACGCGCGCGTCGAGCCCAGTCGCAGAGCCGCGCCGCGCCAGCAGCAGCATCTGCACCAGCAGCACCATCACCACCAGCAGCAGCACCAGAGAGAGGCACTGCATGGTGACAGCAGCGCAGAAGCGCTCGCAGAGCGGCGCGCAGCGCCGCGCACGCCACGCCGCGGGCGGTCTGACGAGCGCAGCGTACGTCGGCCGCGAGCCGCGCCGCCAGCCGTTATCGGATCTACAGAAAAGAAACGCAGCGCCGCTCGTCCTTTGATGGCGGCGGTCCGCTCTGTAGTGGCGGCGCAGGGTCGCGCGCTGCTGCGGCGCAGCCCGCTAGCGGCCACCGCGTCGCGGCGGCTCCGCCAGTCCGCGGCCGTGGCCGTTCGGCGCAACTCCACCGCCGTGGCGGCCTCCCCCGCGGACGAGGAGGAGTTGCGGTGGGAGGCCGACTTCGTTGCTGCGACTGACACGATCTACGACTCGTCGCGCTCGTTCGAGGACAGCGCGGCCGGTCTGCGCGCCCTCATCAAGACTGGCCTGCTTCGGCACACCGACCTCCGCGACCGCCCCGAACGCTTCTTCAAGGCGCACCGCCTCCTTGCGCGCCACGCAGTGCAGCAGGGTCCCGGCTTCTGGATCCGGTTCACGGTGCACTACAACCTGTGCTTCGGGACGGTGCTCGCCGTCGGGAGCGACGAGCAGATCGCGGCGCTCGACGACGTCGAGGCCACCGGCCAGCTCGGCTGCTTTGCGCTCACGGAGAAGCTCGCCGGCGTGCAGTCGGGCCTGATCGTGCAGACAAAGGCGGTATTCGACGAGGGCACAGACTGCTTCGTCCTGTCCAACGTGGGCGAGACGGACGGGGCGTACAAGAACTGGATCTCGCAGGGCTTCGTGGCCGACAAGGCGGTCGTCCTGGCCGACCGGAGTTGAAATCCTTCTGTTTTAATCGCCAACCACTACTCCTGATTAGGCGGTCGTCCTGGCCGACCTTTCCATCGGCGGGGAGCGCAAAGGCCCCCCACGCCTAGAGGCCGAGTACTTGAAAGTACGCATTCTTGTCTCCCAACCCGCGCTCGAGCGGACACGTATTCAGCCGCCTTCGGCCGCACTCCGCTGTATTCACTGTTCGTTGCAAGCACGCTTTACTCACGCGGTGCTCCGAGGACTCTGCACAGTGCCGTACTCCCGCCCCGAGGATGGCGTCTTGAGCACGCAGGCCCGCACGCCTTTCTGATGGACATGCGCACCGGCGGGCGGCTGACAGCGGGAGTCTCGACGGGCGACATGGGCACGAAGACTGTCGGCATAATATAATATTATATAAAAACATATAATATAATATAATATAGGCGACATGGGCACGAAGACTGTCGGCAACGACCTCGACAACGTGTGGACCCCTAGACGCTGAGCCGAGATGAGCCGAGACGAGCTGAGATCACCCGAGACGAGCCGAGATGACCCGAGGCGAGCCGAGATCACCCGAGATGACCCGAGAACACCCGAGATGAGCCGAGAACACCCGAGATGACCCGAGATGACCCGAGACGAGCCGAGATCACCCGAGACCCTAGACGCTGAATCGATCTTCTTGTACTCCGAACTAGCGCTCGAGAGGACGCGTGTTCCGCGGTGCTCCGGCCGTACTCCGCTGTATGCTCTGCACAACAC